AAAATAGTGGCCGAAACATTATGTCACATCCCTGACGAGGAAATGAAATGTGCAACATCAATCAGGCAGAGTAGAGGAGATCAAAGAGCGCCCCACACCCTCCATCTGGTTCTGTTTGGGGAGACTTTTTTTTCTCCCTGCTTCTCTCCTTCGTTCGTTCCCTTTTTCTTCTCTGAGAATGGGTTCTTCTTGTTTTTCCTGTCAGGCATTCCTCCATGTTACAGAGACAATGACATAGTGGCACGCAAGGTAGAACCAGTAAGAAGACGATACCTGTCTCAGTTCTTATACACCCCTCCTTTTTATATCTGAACTAAAGATTATTCACTGTTTCTCTGATTGAGTAAAGGTCTCAGGTATACCCATGTGCTGTCATCACATCTATATATCAAAATGTGGAGTAATGTTTGTGTTACAGGTATGTTTGTGTGTATATGCGTGTGTATCTATGCATGTGGTGCATGTGTGTGTCTGTGTGTGTAAGGGCATGTAGGTGTGTATGTCTGTGCATATGCGTGAGGGTGTGTATATAACCTCCATATGTGATAACATTCTGCCGTCTCTCTCAGTGGAAATATTTAGGCTAAGTCCTCGTTTGAGCGTGCAGTTCAAACAGAAGAAGGCAGAGATTTCTTACCTTTTCCAGACGTCGGCTATCTCCAGGGGGCTTTCCATACAACACAGGGTATTGTGAGTACGCTTGGCCCCTCTCTAGAAATGTGTGTTTATATCAATCCTGATATCCATTTTCCATTATTCCGTTAGCTCTGAGATATTTATTTTTACAGTGAGGGTGTTCAATGGAATTGTAATGTATAAATAGTTTGATCAGTCACAGGCGTCTCGATGACTCTTGAGAGGACACACAAGCTGATTTGTTTAAAGAGCTACATTTGAAATCAACCTTTCCATTCCTGAATGGTATACACAACATAATAAATATATTCTACCTTCTAACAATGCACCCCATTGTACCAATTAAAGCTAAAGTCTTTAATTGAAACAATAACAAAGCGATCACCCCACCTCTGTTTTGGTCAAAAGCTAAGGGATGGGCCAGGAGAAATGTAACCACTCTCAAATTCATAGACGAGGTCAGTACAGGTGCATCAAAGCTGGGACCGAGAGACTGAAAAACAAATTATATCTCAAGGCCATCAGACTGTTAAATAGCCAAAACTAGCTGGCCTCCACCCAGTACTTTACCCTGAACTTAGTCACTGTCACTAGCCGGCTACCACATGGTTCCTCATCCCTGCACCTTAGAGGCTGCTGCCCTATGTACACAGACATGGAACACTAGTCACTTTAATAATGGAATACTGGTCACTTCAATAATGTTTACATACTGTTTTACCCATTTCATATGTATATACTGGATTCTAGTCAAGTCTATCCTATTCAACTATTGCTGTACATATACCAGTCTATCCACGTATTCTTCAGATATACAATATATTATATCCACATACTGTCCATAATGTCTGTACATCCCATCACATATACAGTGCATTCGCAAAGTAGTCAGACCCCTTGACTTTTTCCACATTTTGTTACATTACAGACGTATTCTAAAATTGATTAAATTATTACCATCAATCTACACACAATACCCCATAATGACAAAGCAAAAACAATCTCCCATTCTTCTCTGCAGATTCTCTCAACCTCTGTCAGGTTAGATGGGGAGCATCGCTGCACAGCTATTTTCAGGTCTCTCCAGAGATGTTCGATCGGGTTCAAGTCCGGGCTCTGGCTGGGCCACTCAAGGACATTCAGAGACTTGTCCCGAAGCCACTCCTGCATTATTTTGGATGTGTGCTTAGGGTCATTGTCCTGTTGGAAGTTGAACCTTCGCCCCAGTCTGAGGTCCTGAGCGCTCTGGAGCAGCTTTTCATTAAGGATCTCTCTGTACTTTGCTCCGTTCATCTTTCCCTCGACCCTGACTAGTCTCCCAATCCCTGCTACTGAAAAACATCCCCACAGCATGATGCTGCCACCACCATGCTTCACCATAGGAATGGTGCCAGGTTTCCTCCAGACGTGACGCTTGGCATTCAGGCCAAAGAGTTCAATCTTGATTTCATCAGACCAGATCATTTTTTTCTCATGGTCTGAGAGTCTTTAGATGCCTTTTGGCAAACTCCAAGCGGGCTATCATGTGCCTTTTGCTGAGGAGTGGCTTCCGTCTGGCCACTCTACGTCCATATTATGGCAAGAACAGCTCAAATAAGCAAAGAGAAACAACAGTCCATCATTACTTTAAGACATGAAGGTCAGTCAATACGGAACATTTCAAGAACTTTGAAGGTTTCTTCAAGTGCAGTCGTAAAATCCATCAAGCGCTATGATGAAACTGGCTCTCATGCCACGCTGATCCTCAACACAGGGGCCCCTCAGGGGTGTGTGCTTAGTCCCCTCCTGTACTCCCTGTTCACCCATGACTGCTTGGCCAAGCAGGACTCCAACAACATCATTAAGTTTGCTGACGACACAACAGTAGAAGGCCTGATCACCGACAACGATGAGACAGCCTATAGGGAGGAGGTCAGAGACCTGGCTGTATGGTGCCAGCACAACAGCCTCTCCCTCAACGTGAGCAAGACAAAGGAGATGATCGTGGACTACAGGAAAAGGAGGGCCGAACATGCCCCCATTCACATCGATGGGGCTGTAGTGGAACGGGTAGAGAGTTTCAAGTTCCTTGGTGTCCACATCACCAACAAACTATCATGGTTCAAACACACCAAGACATTCGTGAAGAGGGCACGACAACACTTTTTCCCCCTCAGGAGACTGAAAAGATTTGGCATGGGTCCCCAGATCCTCAAAAAGTTATACAGCTGCACCATCGAGAGCATCCTGACCGGTTGCATCACCGCCTGATATGGCAACTGCTCGGCATCCGACCGTAAGGCGCTACAGAGGGTAGTGCGTACGGCCCAGTACATCACTGGGGCCAAACTTCCTGCCATCCAAGACCTATATACTAGGCGGTGTCAGAGGAAGGCCCAAAAAATGGTCAAAGACTCCAGTCACCCAAGTCATAGACTCTGCTACCGCATGGCAAGCGGTACCAGAGTGCCAAGTCTAGGTCCAAAAGGCTCCTTAACAGCTTCTACCCCCAAGCCATAAGACTTCTGAACAATTAATCAAATTGCCACCCGGACTATTTACATTGACCCCTCCGCTGCTACTCGCTGTTTATTATCTATGCATAGTCACTCTACCCCTACCTACATGTACAAATTACCTCGACTAACCTATACCCCCGCACATTGACTCGGTACTGGTACCCCCTGTATATAGTCTCTGTATTGTTATTTTATTGTGTTACTTTTTATTTAATTTTTTACTTTATATTATTTAGGAAATATTTTCTTAACTCTATTTCTTGAATTCATTGTTGGTTAAGGGCTTGTAAGTATGCATTTCACGGTAAGGTCTACACCTGTTGTATTCAGCGCATGTGACAAATACAATTTGATTTGATTTTAATTTGATCTGGGCCGGACAGTGGAAGTCTGGCACGTATTTTACCTAGAAAGTTTGGCACATGCTTAATCTTGGTAGGTAAAACAGATGTAGGTGAATTTTGTTTTCGTACTGTAAGTATGTTGACATGAAGTCTCTTTCCACAGAAGTCCACATTTCTTCAGAGAATAACCCACACCACATACTAAATGCACTCAAGTGATTCCACAGATAAACATTGTACCATAGTTCAACACAACCTAATGTCTCTAATGCATTCAGTGCACTTTTACGTTGGAGGGCATTCCTGGAACTGTTTTGGACTGAGGCACATTCGAATCGGGTCTCTGAAAAGTCAAGCAATAGATTTTGTTCTTGTGTTGTGGATGTCCGCCATGTTTGAGAACTGAGGGATGGTGGTAGAACTGAAGGCTATGTTCATGTTCTGGCACAGAGGATGAAACAAATGTTCCCAGAGGCACCACTTAGATTCAGAACCTCTCATTCTTTCCTTTACTTTAGCTAATTTTGCTATTGGACTTCACTGCTACTCTGGTATGCCAGTTTCCCCTTTAGCCTACCGCTCAGAAGACTGCACCAGGTCTCCAGTAAAACAAAGCGAATGTGAACACACTGTCTCTGATGCTTTTTCTGACTTACAAAACAATGGAACTGTGAAACTGAATGCAATGAAAGGTTAAAATAATGCCAGCCTAGTACTATAGTATCTATCTCTCTAATACTACTACAAGTTTATTTTCTTATCTTCCTCATGTAAAGCCTCTAATTATTCTAAGAAAACTGGGCACACTGATAAGGTCTGTCCTGAGGAGTTATAGTATATCATGTAAGGAGAATATTGTCTAGTTCCTACTTTCAAAATCCAAAGGAATTGATGATTGTGTTGAGTTGTGGAGACTTTAAGAAGGGGAAAGGAGGTATGGGGGAGGGGAGCTACTTGTTTTGGAAGAAATCTGGAACCTATAAACTTGGACAACTTCTACAAAGAAAAACGCCAGAATATCCCCATCTGATTGGTCAACCCACGTGCCTTTGTCTCCGCCTCATCCCTTTACCCTTACCAATCACAAAACGCATTCTCTTCCTGTTATGCTTGGCCTGGCTGTGCCTTAGAACCCAGCTGGACCAATCTGTGGAACAGATGGGTGGGAACTTACAAGTTCCATCCTCTTTCTTCTTTAAAAAGCCAGATGCAGGTTGGCTGCTGTCTTACATTGAGCTAGGATACTGGACGCAACTGCCGTTCTGAATGTAGATTATATTTTTAAATTGTTGTCTTGTCTAGATGTAGGCAACATATGGATTTCCAATACTGAGAATTAATTATTTTTCCGTTCGCTTTCTATTGCTAGCAGACCTGGCAGATCACTTCTGGTATTTATATATACAGGCTTGCCATAGAACAGAGAAACTAAAGGAGGCATCGCCCATTAGAGGGCCTGAATGAGAGAACAGAGGATTGAAACAGTGTAGGTGCAGAAACAGGGTTAGGTAGATAGATTGCCATGAGAGAAGATCCATCAAGCTGTGGTGAATACCCTGAGGGAGGGGTGGTGTCCAGCGAGGAGGAGCCAGACTGCGCTCCAAACAAATGCCCTGTGGTGGTGGTAACACCAGGGGCTGGTGGGCGCAAAAGGGTCACCAGGAAAGACAACATTTCATCGCCAACAGAGGACAACAAGTCAACAACAGGAGGGTCTCCCAGTCTGATCCCATCAGGACCCAAGAGGCCTAAGAAGAGTCCCCAGCCCTCCCTGTCTCCTCTCCCCATCCCAGGCCAGCCCCTGGAGGATCCTCAGCACCAGCGGGTGGTTGCCAATGTACGGGAGCGCCAACGGACGCAGTCCCTGAACGACGCCTTTGCCTCGCTTCGTAAGATCATCCCCACGCTGCCGTCAGACAAGCTGAGCAAGATCCAGATCCTGAAGCTGGCCTCGCGCTACATTGACTTCCTCTACCAAGTCCTGCAGAGTGATGAGATGGATGCCAAGTTGGCCAGCTGTAACTACCTAGCCCACGAGAGACTCAGCTACGCATTCTCAGTGTGGAGGATGGAGGGGGCCTGGTCCATGTCCGCTACCCACTAGCCTTCCCACTTACCTCTCTAACACCCCCTCGCCTCCTTCCCCCTCGCCCTCCCCCAGCTGCGCCCTCCGGCCCCAATCTCCCATGACCTCTGACCCCTGCTCTGTGACCCGCATCCTCACATCATCTAACTCCTCCACCACTCTACACCAGGTATGCACAATACAAACCATATATACTCAATAGTATATTTCCAAAACAAAATATCACTGTTTTATATTGCATGCAAAAAAGTAATAATTCAACAGAAGGTGATCAGAGATGAACGTAGGGAAACACCTGGTGTTTTAATAGAGTATTAAATGCAATGCTGGACATTTGCCAGAATGAAACGCAGTAACTTTGCCAAGTAAGTGAATCACAAGGGAGGGTCATAGAACAGCACATCTTAGGTTACCACACATCTCTTTTTACATTCAAGGTATACAGTAACTCTTCTACAAGATAAGTTTGTCCTGAAAATTGATATACGATGGTAGCTAAATGTATCCCATGATTATCATCAGGATTATGGACCTAATAGAAGGTCATAGAGCTGTTATTTCCTACATTTTGTAAGAAATAGCCTTTGAACGCTGACAAATCACACAATACAGAATCTTCTTTTGTATTCTAGTTTCTATACACATACAAATTGTATGAGAGAGAGAGAGAGATTTTACCCGGCCAGCCATAACTCATTGTACCTCATAGTCTCATCATTTTAGCTGACCTATTAATATTAATCGGCCTTTGAAGCCAAATGATTGTTGAAAAAGTTACATTACAAGTTTTACTTTCCTACACCCAAACCGAGTCCCTTTTTTATTATTTTGGTACTAAAACTTTCCTTTGAAATTCTTTCCTTTCATTTTGGCTTAAACTTGCTACGTTGGACAAAAATTAGATAGATCTTGAAAACACTCAACAAAAACAAACTGGTTTTGAGAAACCATGCAGCAGTTAGCCATCAAAGGAGAAGTGATGGCTGTCTACTGCACTCCCACAAACCACTGAGTTAGATGAAAGAGGTGATTCTTCCAGTTCCACATCTCCATGGTAAAGATGGCTATCAGATGCCTCATCAGTGGCTATGCCTCCCTTCACCAGTGGCTACACATTTTGCCTTTGCCATTTGAAACCACTGCTTTCCCAACTTCACAAGAGGTACCATTACCACACTTCTGAGGGATGTCTTTTTCATAGTACAGTCAGCACTGTGTCTTCAAACAACCTAGCACGGTTTGACATGTTACTCGCTGTGACATTCTCAAACAATACTGTCCTCTAGAAATCGTGTTTGAGGCAAATGAAAGCTAAATGTCCTTTGACCTTTTCTAAATACCAGGTGAAATTAATATAGGTGGTATAGGCGGTTAGATGTGAGAGATGCATTCTCAGTGTTTGTGTTTGCTGGGATGGCCGTTGTTATTATTCTGTCTGCAAGCTGACTCTGAAGGAAGACATTCTTTGCTCCTTTCTCATTAGGGTCCTGTAGTGTTCTCCAGTTAATGTCTTAACCTTTCTCATGTGAATGTTCTCCCTGCTATTCTGTGGGGTTGCTTTGGGATGTGTGTGTGTATATGCCACATAAATACAGATTTTTAATCTGTCAGGGAGGCATCAATGTGTATCCCTGTCTTTCAAGGAGATCAAATATACATTGGTGTTTTAGCCTGCTTTGTTCTTATCGCTGAACTTATTGCCACACACACTGGCTTTCGATTGACCGAAGTTTATACTTATAGAGTTTACTTGTGCCTTTTAAATCCATGTTTATTGATATTAACCAGTTGCATTTAATCAGAATACCATATTTTACAAGGAGATGGTCAACAAAACCCCCAGCCCAGCCCTGACAAAACAGGGCCAGGGAAAATGGACATAAACATCTTAATACTGAGTTTATGCCCATTACTTTTTCCCCTTGTAGTTTAACCAGTTTAACTGTTAGAGAGTGCAGAGAGATTTCGTTAGGCATCATGAACTAATAATGTGTGTTTACTTTAAAGCAAAAGTAAATGGCATATTTTGCATTATGTTGTAGCACTTACAGAATGTTTCTATCTTGTGTATGTCTCCCCAGCATCTGACCAAGGCGATTGAGAAGCCTCCCCGTTGGTCTGCAATCCCTTTATTTACTGGTTTGTACTTACACCTCTGGACCAACTAAATAACAGATCTGAGCCCTGCCCTCTGTAGAGACTTCAGCTTCCTCGAGCCCACACAGAATCACAGAATCGATGGGACAACGATTCTGAGCCATAAGCAGGCCTAGAAGAGGGACAACTATAGCTTATTCTGACCTGGAAATTGCAACTTGACTTGGAAACAGTTTTGTACAAAAATGTAAGTCATGGGAATGTTCTTATTGTAGTGTAAATACATGTAGTCACAAAGAACTGTCTGTAAACCAATAGAAAATTATTAATTAAAAGGGAATCAGTTGCTGTAAAGAGTGTATTTGTAATACAATTGTAGATATGTGGATAAAATTTGCCTTGTGATTTTCTTGTCTAGATAATAAAATGTGTATTTGAGCATCTTTTAAGCATCTTTCTCAGCCTCGTCTTATAACCACTCTCACCTTAAAAAGCACTCTGTACTGCGACTACACCTGAATGGTCTACCATCAGCAGTCAACATTTGGAGATGGACGATGACACAATAGCATTTCTTAACACCAAATACATTGATTATTATCCTTCTTTGTGTTTGTATGTGAAAGAACCTGGGTTACCAGGGATCTATCTATGTGTTACCCTGTCAGTCTTAATTAGTGCAGTAGAACATGGGCCTCATTAAGGAGAAGTCTAAGTGTCTGCTCAGGCAGCCCAGGGTATAATTACACATAAAGCTGTTGTTCTTTTGGGGAAAATAAGGCCTCTAAAATATTTATTGGTTGTCTGGTTGGAAAGAAATCTTATGATATACCCAACCACATAAGCACATGTGGATACATGCATTAATGGCCCATGAGAGTGTACATCGTATATCAAACATTTTGTCACACCTACAAACGTGCACAAACAACATTTTCAATTTTAATTAAGAAGAGAAACAGTACAAAATAGACATTCTTTCTATACATACATAGGAAACAGAGGAAACAAATGACACAAGGTAAATAAAAGTATGAAACTTGTTGTTATTCTGAACTCCAGTTAGTGAAGGCTACCAATACATGATTCAAGGCACATGTGTGATGTATTTTGGTCTTGAGTATCTATTTACAGTGACTTTAGCAAGTATATCATAAAAAGAAAGAGAGGACTGGCCCACTGGCCACTAAGACAAAATGAGCGTGGCCCATAGGCCCCTGGAAATCTTTACAGGAGAGGTAATGTACAGTATTCAACACACTAACTCTAACATTACTTCACAGACAACAGATACCCACTGGTGCACTATGAGACAGACACAGCACAGTCACTGTCAGTTCTAAGAGCGTTTGAATGATGGTGGTTGCTTCTATTTCCTAAGTCTTTGAGGGGACCTTATGGGCAAACATTGCCCAGAGTCTTGAAAACAAAACATATAACTAGTACAAACAATAATGAAAACTGGCAATAGTTATTAATTTCTTACACATACATAGTCTCCTACACACACATAGCTATCCACAGTGGTTGGTCCAGAGTATAGGAGGAAAAGGCTATAAGGCTTGTTAGGATGGTTATCATTCTCTCTCTCTCAATGCCAACTAGAGGAGAGGATGCAGCTAAGGTTAGAGAGGAATGTCTAGTTAAGACAACATTGACGTGTATCACCAGCGTACATGCCACTGTATCGGAGCAACAGCACAGAGAGTATGTTCCTTTCAAAAGATGCCTTGTAAATATTGTTTTAGACAGAAGTGGATGCTCGCTCTTACTCTTCTCTTTGATTTTGTACAAAAAATAACATAACTTCTTCAACATGGAAAACACAATAATACGCAGTAATAGAGAGCATATGATACATTTAAACATTTAGCCACACGCCATAGAGGTATGGGGTCATACACAAAATAATATTGTGAATGTGAAAACACATTTCATAACTATGTCTTCTGAATTTGATGGTGAGCAGTTTCTTTTGATTTACTGAATAGCTTCTAACAACTAGTGCAATCTAGATGAAATGCTCATTAAGACAAACTACATAACATATAGAATGAATGTAGAAAATGTAAGTGTGGAATGTGGTAAACATTTCAATTCACAACAAAAACTATCTACATTGGTTGTCATTTCATGAACACACAAAATAGGTCCGAGGCATTTTCCTAAACTAGTTTCAGTTTAGAGCAGGTTTAGTTTGGATGTGTACAGATACAGTATATCTGAAAATGAATAATTAGCATGATGTCAAGTACTGTATCATACATACGAAGTGGAGACTGACTCTTCCTCCACAAGGTCTATAGGAGAGGTATGCACCATCATTAAGCCACATCTCCATAGTGCTAACAGTAATGGTCTGTTGGTTGGTTCTCAAAAACAAACAGAGCAACACCAGAAAGGTTTTCACATAGAATAACACACTCAGTTTACCTTCAAACGAACCGTATTCAGCTCTACTTGATACAACCAACTGTATTCAGCTCTACTTGATATAACCAACCGTATTCAGCTCTACTTGATATAACCAAACGTATTCAGCTCTCCTTGATATAACCAACTGTATTCAGCCCTACTTGATATAACCAACCGTATTCAGCTCTACTTGATATAACCAACTGTATTCAGCCCTACTTGATATAACCAACCGTATTCAGCTCTACTTTATATAACCAACCGTATTCAGTACTACTTGATATAACTGCATGTGGATAATATCAAGGCAACTGAACTGTGAAATTAATGTACACAATAAAATAGGTATGTCTACAGGTCAAAATGCTGGTCCTGCAAAAACAAACATCAACGTAACACAGTAACCTCACTGGTCCAACTGCAGTAACACGGTCACACTGCAGACATATTTAAGACAGTTTTCTTTGGGAGATCTCCATTAAGTGCATTGGAGCCTTTGACTAGCATTATAAAACAATACAATAGCCCTCAATGGTAGCTAGGAATGAACATAAATTTAGTATTTCCTCCCAAACAGTGGTAGGTCTTCAGCTCTTCATAAGATTTATTGGTTTCAGTTTGGTCCTCATCATGTCAGTAAGACAAGGGAAATAGTGTGCAAATGAAATGCATTTCTGAGTGTGTGTCCATGCAAACAATGTATAAAAGACATGTGTGTCCATGTGAACAATGTATAAAGACACTTGTCTAAGAACAGCAGTGGTATAATCATAATACAATCTGGCCAAACAGGATTTTTTTGCAAATGCACTTAGAAATACTAATTTGTGTATACATGCATAAGTCTTCTTAGAATGTGAGTGGATTTCAGAGGAGAACAATATCTTCCAATCCTCAAAGTTGAACAGATAATTAAATAATCTAGAGCTTTTTTTTCCCCCCGAAGTTTGGAATTTTCAACGGTTCACATTACGGAATGCACAGTGCAAAAACGACAGATAAAACCACATCTTCATTTTCTTCTTTAGTGGTTAAACTGAATATTAATGACATCATCAAGGACTGACTGAGCCATTCAGCAATTGCCAGGTGCTGGCCAGTCTCGGTCTCTCTCTCTCTCCAGGACCATCCTCAGAGCCACTGACTGGTGTTTGCTCTGCTCACTGATACCACAACAGACCTGGTGCTAGTATTGCTTTACTGTAAGTGCCTCAGTAAGACCTATTATGTCTGTACTTTTTTTTAAAGGCCAAAAAGTGATCAATATCATGGCACAGGACTGGTATGGATGTATCCTTCTGAATACAAACAATATAAATGACTATATTGCTGGGGCTAGACCATGGACAGAGTTAGTTTAATAATCAGCTGTATGAGAGAACATGTTTTATCTTACATATACACTGACAGGGCTTTAGTGTGGGTCAGAAGGCTACATTAGCTCCACTGTGTTGAGTTAATTCTTCACTATGTTAAGGTGTGCTGCATATAGTCTAAGGAGAATGGACGGTGGTCTTTGAGGCACTGTGTGGCTTTAAGGTCTCATTGGTTAAGGCAGAGATCCACAATCTACACTCCTCCCCCTCGTCATGTGACAGGGCAGGATGGGACGTCCTGAAAGAGAGGTCTGTGAAGTCAAAGGTCAGCATCTTCTACATGGATTCCTCCTCGTGCTCCATAGGCTCGTCTGGGAGGCTGGGGGAAACACACAGAGAAGATGGTTAGGAAAAGCATCATGCATCATATTTGTAACGTACTGTACAGGGGAGTCTGCCCTTTACTGTGAAAATGTTTGGGAGTGTTGGGTACAGGTGGTCCGGTCGTACCTCTTGCTGGTCAGGACCCCCACAGACAGAGAGGCCAGAGCATTGACAGCATCAGTCTCCTCACAGTCTCTCCTCTGAGCACCCAGGTAGGACAGTCCCACAGAGCTACTGAACAGCTTCAGGGACTGCCAATACTGACCTGAAAAACAGGTCACTTTATTTGCCTAAACCAGAACCAGTAAGCACAAACACTTGGATGAGAGCAGTGGGCACATCAGAAGGTCTGAACTTCCAACTGACATAAATGCTAGTCCCTCCTACTATATGGGTCCATATGTTGAAAGATCAATATGATTAATAGCCTTGTTGCCTACTATATTCAATAATTGTGTGTACCCAGGAAGTCTCTGCATTTTACAATAATTCGGATCAGACCAGAATAATAATAATAATAATATATTATGCCATTTAGCAGACGCTTTTATCCAAAGCGACTTACAGTCATGCGTGCATACATTTTTGTGTATGGGTGGTCCCGGGGATCGAACCCACTACCTTGGCGTTACAAGCGCCGTGCTCTACCAGCTGAGCTACAGAGGACCACAGAATAAAGGGATGGACAAAAATAAAATAGCGAGAGAGACAGAGAGGGGTGGACTTTATTTGAGACATGAGGAGCTGAATGACTGTTTACCCACCATGTATCTGTATGACTCTCTGTAGCGAGTGAACACCGTTAGCATTGGGCTTCTGCAGCTGCACCTCCTCTGACAGAGGCTCCTGTATGGACAACACAGTGGGAGAGGAAAGCATCAGACCACTGATCAACAACATTCACCTTAACAGCCCTCCATAGCTTTCCTCTTATTTATATAATTGAATATTCCTTATGAGGGTATACACTTCACATAAACCTGTGTGGTATACTTAACATGATTTAGGAAGGGGTTTTAAAGTAGTTTATAAACTGCCTTAATGCACCTTAAACCAGTCTCACCTCAATGCCCAGTAGAGCACTGATGCAGGCCTCAGAGGCGTCACAGATGGCCGTGAGGTCGTGACCTCCCTCCAGAGCCATGATCACCCGGCCTCCAGCCAGGCCCATCAGCTGCCGGGTAAGGAACCCAAAACCTGACGCACACATCGACATCAACACAGTCAATATGGGATGTGGTGGACAATTAAGCACTGGAACTTTACATGTTAAACTAGCCTAAATCATGTTCAATGCGGCATATCAACCCCTTTTCTAGATTGACAACATGGGAATATACTGCAGTGTATGTATCAATCTTTATGACATTTACAGCACAGATTAACATACAGTAAATCACTAAAGACACTCACTTACAACACTAACAAAGTGATGCAACTACAGATGTAGGATCTTAACTTGAGCCAGTTTTCTACAGCAGGAAAATAATACAGCAGCAACAGGAAATGTAAATTATTATGTGGATTATAATTAATGGACATTTTTGTAGGTGTTGATACATTTTTCGTGAGGGAAAATTACAAACTTCAGAAGCCTTTTTAAACCTCAAATACACTACAAGTTTTACATTTCCTAAATTGTGTGCGATCAAATTAAGATCCAACATCTGTATTGTCCCACCTACTTGATTGTTATCATGCCATTTTATATTGTGTACCAGGTTAATGCTTATAAATGTCTTACCTTCCATTTATCAAGAACTAACTAGCAAAGTTTATTTCCAAAACTATTGAGCGTGCCGTCTTTAGCCAACTCTCTTGCTATCTCTCTCAGAATGACCTTCTTGATCCAAACCAGTCAGGTTTCAGGACTGGTCATTCAACTGAGACTGCTCTTCTCTGTGTCACGGAGGCTCTCCGCACTGCTAAAGCTAACTCTCTCTCCTCTGCTCTTGTCCTTCTAGACCTGTCTGCTGCCTTTGATACTGTGAACCATCAGATCCTCCTCTCCACCCTCTCCGAGCTGGGCATCTCCGGCGCGGCTCACTCCTGGATTGCGTCCTACCTGACCGGTCGCTCCTACCAAGTGGCGTGGCGAGAAGCTGTCTCCGCACCACGTGCTCTCACCACTGGTGTCCCCCAGGGCTCAGTTCTAGGCCCTCTCCTTTTCTCCCTATACACCAAGTCACTTGGCTCTGTCATATCCTCACATGACCTCTCCTATCATTGCTACGCTGACGATACACAACTAATCTTCTCCTTTCCCCCTTCTGATAACCAGGTGGCGAATCGCATCTCTGCATGTCTGGCAGACATATCAGTATGGATGACGGATCACCACCTCAAGCTGAACCCTGGCAAGACGGAGCTGCTCTTCCTCCCGGGGAAGGACTGCCCGTTCCATGATCTCGCCATCACGGTTGACAACTCCGCTGTGTCCTCCTCCCAGAGTGCGAAGAGCCTAGGCGTGACCCTGGACAACACCCTGTCGTTCTCCGCCAACATCAAGGCGGTGACCCGCTCCTGCAGGTTCATGCTCTACAACATTCGGAGAGTACGACCCTGCTTACACAGGAAGCGGCACAGGTCCTAATCCAGGCACTTGTCATCTCCCGTCTGGACTACTGCAACTCGCTGTTGGCTGGCCTCCCTGCCTGTGCCATTAAACCCCTACAACTCATCCAGAATGCCGCAGCCCGTCTGGTGTTCAACCTTCCCAAGTTCTCTCACGTCACCCCCCCTCCTCCGCACACTCCACTGGCTTCCAGTTGAAGCTCGCATCCGCTACAAGACCATGGTGCTTGCCTATGGAGCAGTGAGGGGAACGGCACCTCTGTACCTTCGGGCTCTGATCAGTCCCTACACCCAAACGAGGGCATTGCGTTCATCCACCTCTGGCCTGCTGGCTCCCCTTCCTCTGCGGAAGCATAGTTCCCGCTCAGCCCAGTCAAAACTGTTCGCTGCTCTGGCACCCCAATGGTGGAACAAGCTCCCTCACGACGCCAGGACAGCAGAGTCACTCACCACCTTCCGGAGACATTTGAAACCCCACCTCTTTAAGGAATACCTGGGATAGGATAAAGTAATCCTTCTACCCCCCCCCCAAAAAAAAATTGTAAAGTGGTTATCCCACTGGCTATAGGGTGAACGCACCTATTGGTGAGTCGCTCTGGATAAGAGCGTCTGCTAAATGACGTAAATGTGCCCTTGAGCAAGGCACTTAACCCTAATTGCTCCTGTAAGTCGCTCTGGATAAGAGCATCTGCTAAATGACTAAAATGTAAAATGTAAATGTAAAGCTCTAAAACCACTTTATAGGCTAGCTTGTGGTCTAAAGCGTACTGTTTGAGGAAAGCCTTGCTTACATTTGGCGGTGACCTTGTAACCCCCTAGAGGTGCAGGGTGTCCCTCTGCTGCATCGAACCCTGAGGAGACCAGGACCACGTCAGGGGAGAACTCCTGTGCTATGGGCATCACCACCGTCCTGCAGGGAGAAACAACATTAATCTCATTTACTCCACAAAGACAGTTTCAGACAGTGAGGAGAGCATGGTTGGAGTTGAGCTGCTAGGGGGTGGGCCTCCTGTTGTTTTCTGGGCTGGTGTCCATCACCCCTCTCTGTCAGAGAGTCAACCAGCACAGTGCAGAGCAGAGCAGGGCCGCTAGCTAGCAAGGGAGCTAACGCAGGCATCTCCGCTGCCGCCCGAGTTCAAAGCCGCCATAGGCGCGTCTGGTTCCCATTTGGAGCTTGTCACTCTCTTCACGTCACTGACAGCATGCCATCTGGGATCCATTTGGGTTCATTATCCTGCGTTTGGATTCCTCCAGCCCCCCCCAATCCCCACCGCACTAACTAACCCCGCCTCCCCTGTCGACCAATAAAACCTTCCATACTCCCCTGTGAGCCCGGTTACAGACAGACTACAGGGAGAACGAGAGAGAGAGGGAGAGGGCTCATTAAAGATCAATCAGAGAGGGGGAAGTAGAGAGGAGAGGAGGAGAACAGGAATGAGAGAGAGGAGACAGGGAGGTGGGGAGGGGGGTAGAGGTATGGGGTAGATGTCAGCAATCCCTACCCCTGGAGTTTAGAGAAACTGACTGACAATATTTCACCAACAAATTTGTTGCGCATTCTAAATCTGTGTGGGACAGACATGTGTGGCAACAAAATGGTGGTGTCTTTTCAGATAAAAAAACAGAGTTATTATTATTATTTCCAAGGTGCACTACTGTGTGGAAAAGGAAGGTATAATAGGAATACTCTGGTTTGTTATTTATTACTTTGAAGTGAAAAACTTTTGTTGACACTTTTCCAGTACTATGTTGTCATTCTCATTTTGTTACGCTGGCTTAGAGGTGGGGCCCACCCACTTGGTTGTGTCTGCCTGCAGTGTGGACCCTCTTACTGTGTGGTTGCCACAGTTTCCTACGGTTGCCACCAGACAGCCGACCAAACCAACATACAGAGACTTCATTAGAACTTTAAACTACCCACCGGTGGCAATTAAGGACCATGGAGGAAGTGTCAGTGAAATGTATGTTTAATACATAACAACCAAACCTGGAGACAATTTAATCTTACAAAAACTCTTACTCAACTTTTAAATTGGGACCGTACACATGCACTTCCCAATGACTGGGATTCAGAAGTGCGTCAATCAATTTACTGTCAATTTACAGTATATTGAGAGCAGTGCTCAGTAAGCAGGAGCGAAGGACACTGTGCCCAATGTTGTTTTGCCAGATTGTAGCACAAACTCTCCCCAGTGAGCAGTAGACAATCCCGGTGACACCTAGATGGTTACTACCAATATTACAATTTATTTATTGTGTAGGCTGCCATCTTAAATCAAAATAAAATCAAGTGGGATGGAACAAATTGGCCACGTTAGCTATGCCACGTTAGCTACTGCCAGCGACATGTGGCATGTCACAGTGACATCCAGATGGTGACCAAGTTGTTTCTCCCTCACACATCGAAATAAACATAACTTTATTTTACACATTTTAACTAGCGCCATACTGCATCATAAACTAGCTAGCTGGGAACACTTGCTGGGAAGGGCTCATCAGGACAACTGACTAAACAAACCATTAGTCTCCACTCGACTTTCAACTGCACGGCATACGTCATCGATTTGGGCAGCAGGCGTGTCCGTATAGCTTCCCATGTGTTGTATTGTTTTTGTGTTTTTTGGTGATGTCACTTCTTGCCACTGGGGGGCCGTAAAGCATAAGGTGATGGGTCAGGTCAGGTTATGTTAGGTTTAAATGTAGAGTCAGCGAGATGACGAAGACGCACCAAGTAAACAGTAGTAGTGGGTCAATTTCCTGAACAACCAGGAGCGTTGAAACATGAGGCTACACTTCTCTGCTGTTTTGGTCCTGAAGCTACCACGTTGTAGCAGCGTGAAGCGCACCCGTGCACATGCGCAGATCAGTGGCGGCTCCTGAAAAAATTCTCAGGGGGGGCAATTTTTCTGATGATTTAGGTGACCTACACACATTTTAAAAAAGATATGTCCAGCAACAACATGAAGACAGGGGCAGCATATAAGTCAATACCAGAAGCATTTATTGACTGATCTCAAAAGTGTTGGCTTACCAGGGTTGGTGGAGCCCTCAGTTTCATCTTTGCCTCGCAAAGCTAACTCAAACACTCCGCAAAACTTCACACACTGGATTAGCCGGCTGAGGATGTGGCGGTTCTTGCTAATGTCGTAGTAAATATATTTGTTATAGTGAATATGGAATATGATATGTTGAGTAAAATGTTGTGCTAAGATCTATTTAGGTCAGGAGCTGGTTATAAGTTCTGTTCCTATCCAATAACAATGGACAAAAGGGTCCTATCTTGTCAGCCTTGTCAGCAGGTGGCCAAGGACAACACCCACGCCATAGGCCTCTCAGTTCTTCCAACTCACGAGTTCTTGCTCTGAGGACACACACACACACACACACACACAAACACATCATCACTGTTAAACACACACACACACACACACACACACACACACACACACACACACACACATCATCACTGTTAAACACACACACACACACACACACACAAAAATCCCCTCTCTTAGGCTGAACATTTGAAGACAGAGAACCCGACTCAGAGCCAATGCAACAGTGACAGTAGCCTGGAGGGGACCTCGCCCAACTCATCAGGACCAATCAGAAGATCAGAACTACTAGATTCAACCTACTTCATTTATTGCATAAAATGTCTGCACACAATGTTTCGGGGCTCTCTTCAGATAATAATAATAATAATAATAATAATAATATGCCATTTAGCAGACGCTTTTATCCAAAGCGACTTACAGTCATGCGTGCATACATTTTTGTGTATGGGTGGTCCCGGGGATCGAACCCACTACCTTGGCGTTACAAGCGCCATGCTCTACCAGCTGAGCTACAGAAAGTGGATACTCATGGATGCGCATCGCAATTGTAAAATGTCAACACAATTGGAGACACCACGTCATTTTTGGAGACATGTTATTGACAGTAAACTATTGTAGATGCGACTGCTAACTAAATAAAACATTTTAGCTGGCTAGCTAATCATCTTAGCTAAATGTGGGGCAAACAATTCAGTTATTTACCGTTAATTTGAGGGATTGGGGTGAAAGAAATCGAGTTACATAGTGATACTTTACGATATACTGTATTGACAATATCGCAATATTTTAGCGCTAGTTGGCTGTACCTGCACCAAAACACCATTATTGTTCCTTCATAGCTTGTTCTCAATCTTTTCACATTGGGAGCCAATTTGTTTTCAGCACTTTTATTTCCATGACTGATCAAAACTCGTTCTCATGGCTTTCTGATCCCTCTGCAACAGACATATGGTGCGCAATAAAATCACAGTATCGAATCGCAATACGTATAGAATCATGAGACTCGCAATGCTGATGCATATATCTTATCGTGAGGTTCCTGGCAATTCCCAGCCCAAGTTCATTTGCCACAACAAATCTCTTCGCTAGCAAACGCGATGTCTTCTCCAAAACGGCAATGTGTCTCCAGCAATGTTTACTTTTTTGACGTTCTATGGCATCTCCACTTTCCAAGCATATATGACCACATGTAATATTTTGGTAAGTGATGCAAATAGTGAACTATGTAGGGCCAGGATGTAAAATATATGTAGCTGCAGCAATTTCTCTTATCTGATATGGTAAGTAATGGGGCTTAATTTATAGCTCCCTAAGAGTTTGACGAACGGGTCCGTGCACGCGATTCCAGATATCTTTACCTCTGAATAAACTGCCTTTATTATACCATATCCACCCTGTCCAAAGTCTCTACTTGGTCTCAGTTCTCCAGTAAACTTGTGATTATCAACACTAACCTCATCGTTGTGGCGGCGGACAGCTAGCCTGTATCCCTCATCAAGTTGAGTGGCAATGTTATTTTTCCGTTCGTACCAATTTTTGGAAAATCCTCGGGTGTAGGACTTTCCGCCTTTAGTAGAAACCTGTTGAATTATTAAATTTGGTCTGGGAGGTCCTAATTGTTTCGTTGCCAATTTATCTTCATTTGTTCGCCGACAAAAAGGAACTTCTTTCAAAGACACAATCCGCTCTTTTCTCAGTTACGTTCATGGTTACGTTACGTTACGTATGACGAAAGCGCGTAAGTGCAAGCCCTCAGACACCCATAGAGATTGTATTGAAGGCTCTGAAATTTGAAAAAAATAGATTTTACATTAGAGGCTATGAGAGACTTCTGGGCGATTTTCAACCTGACTGAAATCGCCCCAAAAGGGGGGGGAGCCATTTGAAGCACGACTTTAGCCTGATTCGACATTTAGTGGCAGTGTGGCACTGTGGCAGATCAGACGTATAGATTACAACACTGATAACTACTGTTGCCGTGATATAATTGATTAGAAAAAAAATCCCTTCCTTTTCCCGTTTGGCAGTGCGTCGCCCATATCGCCCTATTGAACAGGCCGCCCCTGGCGCAGATAATACTCTGTGTGACCTTGTGAGAGCAGTCTTGCATCGCGCTCATCTCAATGGGCGCGTTCCTCTACTCAGACGTTGCAGACGCCTGCCAGAGCTTACAATACCTGGATAGGTATTTTACGTATCAGCTAACCACATCATGGTCGCAGTACCCCGTTTAGACGCATGTCGGGCACCAGACTGCTATACCATATGATGTGGTTAGCTGATACGTATAGTACCTATCTATCTAGGCGTTGTAAGATCTGACATGCGTCAGCAACGTCTGAGTAAAGGAACACGACCAACATGTTATAGCAATCTGGTGCCTGACTGCACAGTCGATGACGTGGTTGATGCATGCAAGGGCTGAGCAGGGGAACGCGACCAATAGCTGCGGTGCTCATCGTGGCAACGTCATCTCGCTGAGTCCACCTGTAGCCCTTTCCTGCAGTCAATGACCAAAAGCGCCGTCTTTGACCCCATGGGTGGAATGTTGTTAATATTTTTCATAATTACATCATTAATAAAAAACTCTAGGACAATCTGGTGTTTCTATGTCAAACAGTTTTGATATATGTATATTCTGTGATGTATATAAAGTGTAATATTGGGATGCAAACTCAAAATTGAATACATTTCAACTCTATATCTGACATGGTACAAGTGTCTTGTATTTCTTAAGCCCATAACCATGTGTGTGAGGTGTATACTTTTATTTCAAAGCAGATTTGTTTAAGACTACCAATAATCACTCTGTGTGACCCTGATTTAGCCCACTGCAGTAAAAGGTTTTAAATTAAAGTCAATATAAGTGTGACCCATCAGATTCAGAAGCTTGAAAAACCCATTACAAAAATAGCTTGAAACCCCATTGAAAACTCCATTACATTTTTGCCCAAACTTTCGAGAAAGAAAACTAAAACTGAACATAATTCATTATGGTTTTATTTTGGTTAGTTTTGGAGTCAATCAAAGATAACAGTTTCAGTACAGTTAAAGTATTTTTTGTTTGTTCATTATTTTATTTCAGTTTACTTTTTTTATGATTAGTTTTTGTTTTAGTTTCAGTTTACTATAATAACCTTGGTCGGAGCTGTCTTACCTAAAAGCAGCGATGTACTCAGCATCACTCATAGGAGGGTCCAGACCTCCAGTCCAGGCCACGTTGACACTGAAACCCTCTCCAGCACCAGATCCCACCTACAACAGACACACACAGAGAGACCTACTGAGACAAAGCATTCTCCATGGAGAGGAGGACACATTCAATAACAGTAACAGAGGTGCTAGAGGCACAACACATGTAATATAATCGCTACACTAAAGCCCTTGAGCAGACGTCTGTCCACTGTAACTTTGGAACCTAGCTAGCTCTTTGAGTTTCTCTTGACGTCATCTTGGCCTACTGGAAGAATTCCCTGTGTAGAGTTGACCCAATGATGTCACTTACCTCAGCTGGCCCCCCGCTGCCAGGGAAGAAGTTGCCGTCGTCGTAGCGATGCAGTGAGATATACAGCACACTGGGATCATTGTAAAACACTTCCTGGGTCCCATTACCATGGTGAACATCCTAGCAACAGGACAGAGATGGAAGAGAACATTTGGTTACATTAAAACCAATAACTGCTGGCTCATGTTATGTCATATCCTAGGCCTAATCAATAGTAACCAATAACTAATGTGAGACAGAACTCATATGTATACTGTACGTGTGTATACATACATGTACACATACAGGTAACTGCCAAAATAAAGGAAACCCTTGAGTAAATGAGGGATACAAAGTATATTGAAAGCAGATGCTTCCACACAGGTGTGGTTCGTGAGTTAATTAAGCAATTAACATCCCATCATACTTAGGGTTATGTACAAAAATGCCCAGTTGAACATTATTTTGGCTACCATGGCAAGAAGAAGCGATCTCAGTGACTTTGAAAGAGGGGTCTCAAAGGAGCATGGGGGGTTTAAAGGGATTCTGGAGCGGCGCCTGAGACAGCGTTTTCCACCACCATCAACAAAACACCAAATGATGGAATTTCTTGTGGAAGAATGGTGTCGCATCCCTCCAATAGAGTTCCAGACACTTGCAGAATCTATGCCTGGCGCATTGAAGCTGTTCTGGCAGCTCGTGGTGACCCAACGCCCTGTTAAGACACTTTATGTTGGTGTTTCCTTTATTTTGGCAGTTACCTGTACATAATGAATGTGTTTATACATACAGTTCATCATGAAGGTCAGCACTAGTAGTTATTGTGAAAATAGTAGTAAGTCAACTGAGACGTGGATACATTTACATTTTAGTCATTTAGCAGACGCTCTTATCCAGAGCGACTTACAATTAGTGAATACATTTTTTTTTTTTATACTGGCCCCCCGTGGGAATCGAACCCAGAACCCTGCCGTTGCAAACACCATGCTCTATCAACTGAGCTACATCCCTGCCGGCCATTCCCTCCCCTACCCTGGACGACGCTGGGCCAATTGTGCGCCGCCCATGAGTCTCCCGGTCGCGGACGGCTGCGACAGAGCCTGGATTCGAACCAGGATCTCTAGTGGCACAGTTAGCACTGCGATGCAGTGCCTTAGACCACTGCGCCACTCAGGAGCACAGTGTTGCTACTGTTAATGCTACAACCACTCCAACTGTAGTCGCTTACCCAGTCAACGATGAGGATCTTGTTGGCACTCAGTTTCTGTTGGAGCTGTTTGGCTGCAATGGCCACTGAGTTGAAATAGCAGAAACCCCTGTAGTAGAGAGGTAGAGAGAGAGGTAGAGAGGTAGAGAGAGATAGAGGGTAGAGAGAGAGAGATAGAGAGAGAGAGAGGAGAGAGAGAGAGAGAGAGAGAGAGAGAGGAGAGAGAGAGAGGTAGAGAAGAGCGCAGAGAGGTAGAGAGAGAGAGAGAGCGAGAGGCGAGAGAGAGATTTAAAGAAAAAAACTTTGTTCAAACTTCCCCAAACCTTTCGGGGGAAAAACCCCCCAAGCCTTTAGTTGGTGCCCTTTTTTGGCATTATTTCTTTTTTTTTCAACGCTTAAGGGACACCAGTTTTTTTAAAAAATGAGAAATAACAGAGGGGATACTTTTAAATTTTTAAAATTTTGAGCCCTTTTATAAAAATTAAATTATTTAAAATTTTTTTTTTTTATTCCCCCCCGGGGAAATCAACCCAACCCTCCTTAAAACCCCAGTTTCAATGGCCCCCTGGGTTTCCCCCCCCACCCGGGCCGGCCCTTTCCCCCCAACCCCTCCGGCGGCTCCAACCGGGACGCCCTGCCATGGCCCCCGGTCGGCCGACCCGCGCCACCGGACAAAGGGTTTTGGGCCAACCACTCCAATGATGCTTCCCATCCCCTAGGACTTGGACTGTTTTGTTTTTTGGCTCAAGGCCCATGATTTTTAAAAAAACCCCCTTTGAGGGGGGAAGCTCCTTCCCAGCTTCACTATCAGCCATAAATATCCATCGTCAGACAGGCTGCTGACACTGCAAAGCTCAGCAGAGCCCGCTGTGGTTAGCCTGGGCACGCACCACCACAAGCAGTATAGTACACACGAAAAACAACACACACACAGTAGATATGAGAATATGAAACAGACTCACATTGGGTTGGATGGGTCAGCATGGTGGCCTGGGGGTCTCACCACTGCAAAGCCATTCTGGAGAGAAACAGTCAAACAAAACAAAGCATTATCATTCAGTATCAAATGGCCTAAGGCAGTTGGTGAGGCAGACCAGAGTGACTGGATGAGGATTGGAGTACAGATCTGTGTCTTACCTTGAGTTCGCCTTTGGCCACTCTGAAGGCCAGCTCTGTGACACTGCCTGCAGCCATGCGTGACGCCGTGGATGTATGAGACTCGTTCCAGATTGTGTCATTATCCACCTGCCAATCAAAAACAACATGAGGGTGAGTGACAGGACAGCAGCCAAGCTTGATGGAACCAGTCATAAGCATGCGTTTAGAATCTGCTAACATGCTATAGGGAGTTACAGTGTATCAGGTGAAGTGTTTTTCTTTCCATGGTTTTAACGACACTGAGTAATATAACTACAGGTACACCGGTTTGGAGGCAAACAGACCTCACCTCAATCATTTATGGGACAATAACATAGCTGTCTGATATATTTACACAGACACACTCTGTGCCATAGAGATTTGCTATCCAAGCAACAGAAAAACAGGACCATGCATACATGGTGTTGTATATACAGACCTGAGGGGTTGGCATTCCCCCAGGGACTTAAACATTCTCCTGTCCACTCCATTCTATCTATCCTTTCATTCTTTTTTTTCGGTTTGTTCACAAACTCGCATTTCTAGCCGTCTGGCTCAGACAATAAAATTGGAGGCATTTATTTTATCCCTCGTCATGCGCATATTGTTTCTATTAGTTTGAATTGTCATGGTCCGATGGAGATCGTCAGGCAATTTATTGACATGTCCCAACGCACTCATGCTTTCCTCTTTCATTTCCACTGCCTCGTCTTCTCATGGCCCTCTCTTGGAAACAACGTCAACAACTACCATCACTCTAATCAATCTGAATGGACCGTATCATATAACTGTTGTCAAGGACTTGGAGGGAAGAATTGCCAACTGAAATCAAGAGATGTTGTGTGTTTTGTGAGTGAGAGAGAGAGAGAGAGAGAGCTAGGGGAAAATATGTGTGTTGGGCCTCTCACGTACCCCCACTCCTCCACATGGCAGCATCACAAACATTCTTTGAGAGAGAATGCCTGTGGGAGAACAATGCAAAGAGGTTTTATTAATCAAACAATCAATATTAACAGCTCCTTTTCATACAGTTTTACATTAGAAATTAGTATCAGACATTACTGTACGTCTGTGTTCCATCACTGTAATGACAACTTAAATACATTAATGAGTTGACTGCTAAACGTAAGGGATTACAAAGTGCTATCAATACCGTAACGTTAGAGTCATTAACCAAAGGCAAATCCCCAGTTACTAGGGACACCAGAGCAAGTAGCTTTACTTTACAGTGCTGTTGTCAAACTGTTACCAGGTACATAAAGCAGTGGTTCTCAACTCCGGTCCTCGAGTACCTCCAACAGTACACATTTTTATTGTAGCCCCCGACAAGCACACATGATTCAACTTGTCAACTAATCTTTAGGCCCTCAATGAGTTGAATCAGGCATGTTTGTCCAGGGCTACAACAGAAATGTGTACTGTCAGGGCACCGGAGTTGGGAACCACTGACGTAAAGGCTTCTGGCACAAGGTTGGCCTGAAGTAGTAGACTAGTACATCATATAATCTTTAGTGAGGACGTACCAGCCAGCTTGCGGTTGTCCAGTTTGAGGCGGTTGAGAGGGTTGGTACCATACAGAAGGACATGACGCTCTGAATGGACCGACTGCAGCTCCTCCAGAGTGGCCTTCCTACCCCGGATAGTCTGTTGGAACATGGACCAGATTTAGAGCAACAGATAATGGACCAGTTGGAGGCCACTAGGAGACAGCTATGGTGTCTTCTGGTAACTTGTAATCAGTGATATGGATGTCTGTGTAATACGTGTGTAATGACAGTGGTGATGTGTGTACCTCACACTGGCCCCTGAGACCTCTCTCCTGGAGACGTGACCAGATACTCTGGATCCTCCCAGCATGCTCTGGGTGGCTGCTGTTGTCACCACATGTGCACTGGTGCTTCAGCATCTGAGAGTCATAAACCAGACCTGCAACCAAACACAGACACACATTAACGTGACTACTTCCAGTGATTACTACCCGTTTACTCCAAATCAACAGCTGTAAGACAGATCTAACCACAACGAGAAAAATTATCAAACAAATGCAATACAAGAATATAAACTGAATATAAACTTACTAACCATATCTTATCAGAGAGTCCCTGACCAGGCCTCAGACTGAATAACGGCCACAGTAGGGATAATAACCTAAAATTAAAAAAGGGGCCCTTTTTTATTGGGGTGGTTTGGGGCCTTTTTGGGGGTGGGTTTTGGTTTCCCTTTTGGGGCGGGGGGGAAAGGGGTTTTTTTCCCCTTTGGGGTTCTGGGGGCGGGAGGGAGGGGGGCGGGGGCAACGTGGGGAGGGATGTGGGGGCTGGCAAAAGGACGGGGTTTTTTACCGGAAAAAGAGGGGGGGGGATGGGGGTTCCCCCCGCCCAACCCCAAAAGGGTGTACCCGCCGGGGCGGTCTCCGGGTTGCTCCCCGCCCCACGGCTGACCCCCAAAATTCTTTTCCCCCCAAAGGGGCCCAACCCCCCCTGGGGGGGAAGGGGAGATAGAAAGATATCCCGAGAAGGGGGAGAGAGGGGAGAGAGGGGATAAAGAGAGAGAGGGGGAGAGAGGGGACCACAAGAGGGGGAAAGAAAAGAAAAGAGACATACAGAGAAAGAAAGGGGAGAAAAAAGAGAGAGAAGAGAGGAGAGAGAGAGAGAAGAAAATAGGAGGAGAGAGAAAAAGGGGAAGAGAGAAAGAGAGAAAAGGGGCCCAAAAAGAGAGGGGAGGAGAGAGGGGAGAGAAAACAAGAAGAGGAAAAAGAGATAGAGACATACAGAAAGAGATAAAGAAGAAGAGACAATACAGAGAAGGAGAGAAGAAGGAGAGGAGAAGGAGGGGAGAAAAGATTGGGGTTGAATTTCCCAACCCCAAAGAAATCTACACAAAAACGGGGACCCAAAACCTGCATGAATTTTTTTTTTTATAATTATAAAATAAAAAACCCTTTGGCTCTCTTCTGCTGGAAGTTAAAGGGAAACCCTGTTCTTTTATTTGGTCCTCTATCATAAATATGTTGTCTGTATTTTAAAAGGGGTTTAATTATGAGTGGGGTTTTTCCCAGGTTGATCGTTCCCCCTGGTTTCCCTTAAAGACACAGGCTCCCCCTCCCAGGGACTCCGCCCTGCCTCCCCTTTGAAAAATGTGCGGGGCGTTTGGCCCCACCCCCTCAGAGTCCATTTTCCCGAGAGGATCTGTTTTAGAAAGAGGGCTTCCCCGGGGGTTTTAGACATCACGGAACACACACAAAAAAATTTTCCCTTTGATGAAATTCATTAAATTCTAAAAATTTTAATTTTTCCAGAAAAACGGCTGCTGGCAATAAGCCCCCCTTTGGGTTGTAAAAAAAATCTAAAAACCCCTTAAAAACAAGTGCGTGGGGCATTGAGGAAGAGGTTTTTGTAAAGGGGGGTTTAATCACTCCCTTTGCCCAGGTGGGTCTGCTTTTGAGTCTCTCCATTTAGCTGCTTTTTTGTGATGCTGCTGAAGCAGAGGGGGGTGAAGTATCTGGGCTCGGGGGCGGGGGCTTAGGGGGCCCCGGCTAAGAGGTTGTGGGGGCCCCTTTTCCCGGGGCCAGAGGGATCCATCTGGGGGGCAAACTGCAGAGGAAGGGGGCCCCGGCCTGGAACTGGGGCCCGGAGGAGACAGGGAGGTTTTGGCGGGAAGTCTGACGGGTTTGTAAAGGGGGCCCCCAAGGTGGCATTGTCAAAAAACCTATGGTGGCACAAAAACTTTTTTCCCTTAGCCCCTTTAAAGGAGGCTAAAAAAAAGGGGGAAAAGGGCCAAACCCAGAACCCCGCTTACAATTCAGTTTTGGGGAAAGACTTTATAATAACACATTTCCGGGGCAAGACTTTTTCCCTGTTCAAATGTCAAATCAATTTACATGGAAAGGAATTTTCAATACTTTTATACAAAGGCAACGTTTTATTTTTTACATTTACCCCTTTTGGGCAGACGCTCTTACCCGACACCCCCCCCCCCAAATTGGGGCATTCCCCTTTATAGCCCATGGGAAAAAACCACTTTTTTAAATATTTTTTAAAAGGATTATTTTTTTAAAATTTTCCCGGGTTTTTCCCTTTAAAAAAGAGGTATTTTTAAAAAGGGTGTTTTCTTTTTTGGGAAGTCAAACTTTTTAAAAAGTCAGCCGGGAATTGAAGTGAATGCTGTGGTGTCTCACCAGCGAGCTTTGGGGGGTTTGCCCCCCCCGGGGGGCCCTCCAGGATAAGGACGGGCCCTGGAATTGGAGGTGACAGGACCCACTCTGCTCCTCCATTCCGGGGGAAGGTAGCCCAATTGGCCTCCCCGCCCCCCAAAGGAAACCCCGGCTCACCTTAAAGGGGGGACAATTTCTCCACACTCTGCACACATACACAAAAATGCCGATAAGTTAAATATTTGCAAATAAAGACAAATTAGGGGTGAATTTTTTTACCTGTGTGTGTGTGTGGGGTGTGTGTGTGTGTGCTGTGAGAAAGTGACCCTGTTTGTCTGACCCTCTCACAGGTAGGTCTGTGGCAGTCATTACATTTTGTCATCCGGTTATTGCAATGCAAAAGCATGCCACTCTCATGGAAATTGACCGTTAATTAACATAAACACGTTTAGTATCTCCAGGCCTCCACACATACAAGCTGCATACAAACCACTGATGCGCGCCTTTGCAACATCTACATTTCAAAGTCTAATAAATCAATTTAATATACACCATCACAATAAACCTATTATTTATTTTAGGCAGATCTAAAGAAACATTATGATATGAAGAAAATGTTTTTCAGAAGAACAGAATAAGAGTTGGCCTACTGTATGTTATCTGGCTATGCTCCATGCCATAGGCTGTAGGCCTGTTCATTTAGCTGACAAAATATGCTTATATGTCCCGTGCCATTATTTTATATTATATGATTTTATAGTGAGAAGAATATAATTGAATTTAGCTGAATAAAATAGAAATGATATTTTTCCCATTCCGGAGCAAGAGTGTGCATATGAAGTGACTATGTTGAGCGTAAAAGTGATCATTTGTTGTGAATGATACAAACCTTAGAATGCCTTGGAAATCAAGAGATACAGTGCCTTCGGAAAGTATTCAGGCCCCTTGACTTTTTCCACATTTTGTTACGTTACAGCCTTATTCTAAAATTGAATACCCCATAATGACAAAGCAAAAACTGGTTTTTAGAAATGTTTAATAATGTATTAAAAATAAAAAACAGAAATATCACATTTACATAAGTATTCAGACCCTTTACTCAGTATTTTGTTGAAGCACCTTTGGCAGTGATTACAGCATCGAGTCTTCTTGGGTATGACGCTACAAGCTTGGCACACCTGTATTTGGGAAGTTTCTTCTCTGCAGATCCTCTCAAGCTCGGTCAGGTTGGATGGGGAGCGTTGCTGCACAGCTATTTTCAGGTCTCTCCAGAGATGTTAGATCGGGTTCAAGTCCAGGTTCTGGCTTGGCCACTAAAGGACAATGAGACTTGTCCCGAAGCCACTTTTGCGTTGTCTTGGCTGTGTGTTTAGGGTCGTTGTCCTGTTGGAAGGTGAACCTTCGCCCCAGTCTGAGGTCGTGAGCGCTCTGGAGCAGGTTTTCATCAAGGATCGCTCTGTACTTTGCTCCGTTCATCTTTCCCTCGATCCTGACTAGTCTCCATGCCCCTGCCGCTGAAAAACATTCCCACAGCATTATGCTGCCACCACCGTGCTTCACTGTAGGGATGGTGCCAGCTTTCCTCCAGACGTGACGCTTGGCATTCAGGCCAAAGAGTTCAATCTTGTTTCTCATGGTCTGAGAGTCTTTAGGTGCCTTTTGGCAAACTCCAAGTGGGCTGTCATGTGCCTTTAACTGAGGAGTGGCTTCCATCTGGCCACTCTACCATAAATGCCTGATTGGTGGAGTCTTGCAGAGATGGTTACCCTTCTGGAAAGTTCTCCCATCTCCAAAGAGGAACTCTAGAGCTCTGTCAGAGTGACCATCGGGTTCTTGGTCACCTCCCTGACCAAGGCCCTTCTCCCCCGATCGCGCAGTTTGGCCGGGCGGCCAGCTCTAGGAAGAGTCTTGGTGGTTCCAAACTTCTTCCATTTAAGAATGATGAGGCCACTGTGTTCTTGGGGACCTTCAATTCTGCAGACATGTTTTGGTACCCTTCCCCAGATTTGTGCCTCGACACAATCCTGTCTCGGAGCTCTACGGACAATTCCTTCGACCTCATGGCTTGGTTTTTGCTCTGACATGCACTGTCAACTGTGAGACCTTATATAGACAGGTGTGTACCTTTCCAAATCATGTCCAATCAATTGAATTTACCACAGGTGGACTCCAATCAATGGAAACAGGATGCATCTGAGCTCAATTTCGAGTCTCATAGCAAAGGGCCTGAATACTTATGTAAATAAGGTATTTCTGTTTTTAATTTTTAATACATCTGCAAAAAAATCTAAAAACCTGTTTTCGCTTTGTCATTATGGGGTATTGTGTGTAGATTGCTGAAGATTTGTAAAAAATGTAATCCATTTTAGAATAAGGCTGTAACAAAATGTGGAAGAAGTCAAGGGGTCTGAATACTTTCCGAAGGCACTGTATATGGGCTGCATGATGCGACTATAGGCTTTTGACGGTTTGAGAAAGTCACAAAAAAAGCTTGCGCTCTGTTCCTTGTCTCAGGCTGCACACGCTGTTCTCTCACCAAGTGATCATATTTGCACCCATCAGACTATTCTCAATTTAATCTTGTCTTTACTAATATGTCAAATGAGTTTCGATTTAGGAACAGGGGCAGGGAAAAAAGACATGTCATCCGTATGCACTCCAATAGCGAATGGTGGCCACATTCCCGCTGGTTCGTTTCACTCATGTCAGGTTATTTCACGCGAGAGGTGATATTCCACCCAAACTCTGTATGCCATGGGCTCTCCACACTGTTCCTGCAGCTACCCAGTGCTTAATTTGGGAAACCAAGTGAAATCTGTTCGGGAACATCGATAGTAACATGTTTTCATAATGAAACATATTTCACTAATCTGTTGACAGCCCCTCTCTCTCCGCGCTGGAGAAAGGATTGAAGGAGAGAGGGGAGGAGATGAAAACACATGGTAGTGAGATATTCAGTAGCTAAAGGTAATGTGTCAGCCTATTAGTTATACAAATATAAAATCTAAATAATTTACAAATTCATTATAATTGTGGGCTAACTTTGAATTTGTTTAATTTAGGCTAGACCAATTATGTGCCAAAGATATCTTAAATCAGAATTTTTGTTTTATTGTTCTGCCATGTGTAATATACGGTAGGCTATGTATTGTATAACGGCACAATCATTTTTTAAATTCAGGATTTTTTTGGGACTCATATATAGGCCTATGCTATGCATATGGGTGTTTTTAATTAGAAAGCGCTGTCCATTTCATTGTGTCAGGCTTTGAAACAACATCCACAATGACCATGTTTTCCACTCAGTTTCAACCTGCTGTTTAACTTCTTTCTTCAAATTGTTCAGTCACAGTGAGGTGAGATTTAAAAGCACATACTGTTCTGATTATGTGTTTGATGTGATTTTCGATTGCATTTGCATTGATGTCAGAGTGGTTAGAGAGGCAATAGAGCCCTGAGTACCAGGCCATTAGGACCTGATGGTAGTTAGCAAGTTGGGTACTACTAACGCATGTCCAGAGTGCATAACAGGAGATTACCTTGACTCAACGGTCTTGTGGAATTTTACTGTGGTCATGACACGACTGCCGGTGTGGCGGTAATACGGTCACCGCAACAGCTCTACTCACAGGTCAACTGTACGTCTGACAATGAGTGTCTGAAATATGAAACTGGCTGATGGACAAACTGTTTCTCAGAATCATGAAGTCATGGTGTGATGTGATGATGAAGATGTGTCTGTTGAAGCCTGGTTCAGGGCTAGGAGTTTTGATGAGTCCCACTGAACACTGAACAGACAGTCAGTCTCTCCTCCTCCTCATCTCCTTCCCAGAACTGTATCGTTCTCCCCTCTGGATCGGTTCTACCAGTATGGCCAGTGTGTACGGGAACCTCTATCCCTCTGGTCCCTCCTCCAGATTATTAGGCAGAACACAGAATGACTGATTGAGAAAGTATGAAACCGAGAGTCTTTCTGTAACTTGACACACTTGACCTCTTATAAACTCTATCACTACTCATG